ATATATATATATATATGTACATATTATAAAATATAATTTTCAATTCAGTAAGTAATTGCGTGACGAAGTGGATAATAAGGAAATATATACGCCTCGTTATTCATTTGCCACAAAGTAATTTTTGTTTTTTAAATATAGTAAAAAATTAAATTGACCTCGAGATTAATTTAATGCTGATTTAATTATGCGCTTTCACGCGCTTAATTTACATATTTACGTTTGGATATATCTGACCTGCTTAATATTGTATATGAATAAAATATTAAATTTGGTATTATTAAATTGAAACTGACCAAATTATACAATACATTAACAAAAGGAATTGAATTAATTTCTCTCTCCCTGTCTTTCTCTCCTATATAATAAGCAAATGACTTTTAATCTAAACAATCAGCGACACACGTCGTGGACTTTGTAGAATTACGTCAAATGCTAGAAACTGTATGACTCATCTCTAGTTACGTGCCTCACTCATTGCTATCTATAAATCTACGCAAAGGTATACCTATTGCACTCTATTTCGTCATTCTGAATCACACAAGGGTCCTTTTAATACGAATCGCGAATTTCAAGAATCATTACATCGCAAATAATTAATAGATAAGCTCTCTATTTCTACCGGTTTAAATAATAATTTGTATAATGATACGTGCGCCCCTTTCCCTTTGAAGTTGAGTGGAATTATGTCGTGAGATGCGCTGTTTGCTCCCAGAAACAATGCCTCGAGGACAAAGTGGCTTGAACAAAACATCGCAACGAGATATTTCGTGGAATATTTCGTGCACGATGTGGTACAATTTGTTACCAAGGAATTCCGAGCGGAATCGTATTGTCAAAGTACAGGCGATAAAGAGAGAGAGGGAGAGGAAGAGAAAGAGAGAGGGAGAGAGAGGGAGGGGGGGAGAAAAAGAGAGAGAGAGAGAGAGAGAGAGAGAGAGAGAGAGAGATGATTAGATCACAGACATGTTCATGATGAGTCGCGACACAAGGCGAGAAACTTGTCCGTAAAGCTTTCTAGTATTTAGACATACTAAATATAGCACGGATTCAGCTATAAATCCCAGGCCGGTCTCTCTCACAGCCGTTGCGACGTTTTCTTCGGATGAACGCGTCGCTCGGCGATGAAGATAGTTTTGGATATCCGCGGCGATGGATATATGAGACGTAAAGCATTAAGGGTCCTCTACATAGAAGTCGTAGAAGGTGGAGTCATGGAAAACTGACAAATTCTAATCGAGTATTCTCCTTATATTTGATTGATTTCCTACGATTTAAGACCATCTCACGATCATCTACGACTATGTAGAGGATTCTTTAAATACCTTTGTGACACGTACTTTCAATGATTCATCATATCAGGAGAGCAAATGCAAAAATAAAAAGTCAGTTTTATATGATATATTAATTATTCTTAATATATCATATTGAACTGACTCTTTGGATATCATCAATATAAAATAGCGAAAAAATATTGTTTTAATAAAATAAACGCTGATAAAATAAATAGGAGTATATAAAGTGACTCAAATGAGAATATATTAATTTATAAATAAAAAAAATATAGACTATTTTAATAAAATATTTTAATAGAAAAAATTAAAATTAATGTAGACATATTTTCATATACGTAAATAAAATGTATTTATATATTTATATATTTTTAGCTGTATAAATACTTGTAAACTTCTTTTAATTACGTCATTATTTTCGATTTCTATGTTCATCCAGTAAAAGGACTTACCTTGAGATTTAGTCGTTTACAAGGATTTTAAACAAATATTTTAACGTGGCCACATCGATATCGAAAGAGGTGGCCATCTATTCCAGAATTATCCTATCGGCTGAGACTTGGTCAAAGGGCCATCGTGCTTTTCGCGCGGCGCGGATTAGCGTTACGATCGATAGAGAGCCACGGATTTATAGAATGGATTAGTCAAATCAATCAAGATGACTTTCAAACGCAGCTTTTGCGTTCCGCGGCAAGAAAATTGTTCGAAAAGCTAATGCGTTTTGTTAAATCACGAAGAATTGTCCACCGTAATAGTAGTTCCCATCAACGAACGATTTATTGTGCACGATAGCGGGGATTACAGGAAAACATCGACCGCTCGTATCGTAACGTGAACGATACTATTGTAGTGTTATCTATTGATTTCTATCGCGAATAATTGTTGTGTTACCACGTGCGATCTGCGTCCAATTTATATGAGGATTTACCGATTCCGGTAGAGAAACTTGAAAAGAGTGAAATAAATGTGCCTTTAGATAATGTGTCCCACAATTTTTCACCGTAATCATGTTTGCCTCATGTGAATGATTTATCTCCCATTGTTATCTTCGTTGTACAATCAATAATATGAGTATCGTGAGAGTTAAGAATAGGATTTAATTGTGATCTAAAAAGGATATTTATAATCAATTTGTTGCTGAGATAAAATATCTTTAATCCAAGAATAAGAGCGCGGAATGAAATAATTTTTCTTTTTGTTTGGGAAAATATGAAAACCGAAGATATAATCGCGTGAATTTCTCAGGTGAATTAATCTTATTATTCCATTAACGTAACAAATTTTTTCGGCCGCTCCCAACGCTGCTCGCAATTGAAAGAAATAAATGGGCAGATTTTCTGCAGAGAATACCGCGACTGATAGGTAGCATCAAGATCGGTAGGAAGGCTGCACCCGAAATAATCGAGTTCTTTTCATTCGGCAGCATTTATCTTTTTATTGCACCCACGGCGCAATCGAAAACCCGCGCCACTATGTATTATCCTTCCTGAATCGGGGGAGAAAGCTGCACGACTCCCAACGCATTGTACACATTGCCTCTGTTGGCGGATTTGCACTGTCAAAGGTATAATTGCGTTGTTTGATACTGATGGATTCTCGAATTACTTGGAATATCCTGTTTTTTTTCCCTGATGAGAACGCATGGAAACATCAACTTTCCGTATCTGCTGAGTCTCCTGATTTTTTCTCCCCTTTCTATATAATATTTAATCTATTTTTTTTTGTAGCATTACATTTCATCCGAAATTCTATTTTATATTAAATATTTATATTTAATATAAAGCCAAATCTTCGCCGGATAAAGGCGTCAATTTAATTTATTATTTATGATGTGTGTCAACAATTTGTATTTGTAACGTGTATTTAAAAAGATATAATGTAATTGTATTTAAAAAGGTATAATGCACAAAAGATAATTGTAATAAATAATTATCTTTTGTAAACTGATTTAAAGTAATACAAAGTAATAAAGTGGCTCGCGCAATTCATCTTCCTCCTCATTTATATTTAAACGCTAAAATTATTTTCACTGTAATGTGAACTCAAAATTAAATATTACATCCTCGAGAACGTTTTCGTTAGAGTGCACATTGCTTCGTGCTTGTGAATGCATCGCGGCATTAGCTTATGAATAATTACAATTTATAGAATACTCATCGCGATGCACTCGCGGTCGACCGTTGCGATCGAAAGAGTCTCTCTCTCTCTCTTTCTCTCCTCTGTATCATACCCTCTCATGAACCCCGACCTTTTGTCGCAGGTCACGGAAGGAGCTTCATAGCAGCCCAGTGCCGTAGCATGCCGGCGAGCTGCAGCGCGTGGTGGTGCGTCTCTGAGACACCGCGTCGATCGGCGTCGATCGCCGCCATCTGCGTGGCTAGGCACCAATCCCTGGAGCGTCGTCGTAGGAGAAAAAGAAGAACGTGTGATCATCGTCGTAGCACAGGAAGCACGGAGCTCGATACCAGTGACCGATGAGCGCGGGGGGGGATGGGGGCTCGGTCTTGGGCCCATCTGCTCGGCTGCCGGGGGCCCAGCCGATTGCCGCGACCCCCTACATCGCAATCCCCCCCAACGCCGGCCAGCAACCTAACGTCGGTGGTGCGATGGATGCAACGCAATTGGCGAACATGCAGCCGCCGCCATCGCAGATGGGCCCCGGGGCCGCCGGCGCTGTCTCCAAATCGGCCCAGAAGAAACCCGTCAGACGGGGGGCTAAACCGCCACCTGATAGACCCGTTCGGGCGCTCTTCTGTCTGGCCCTCACGAACCCTGTTAGGAAGCTATGTATCAAGGTCGTCGAATGGAAGTATCCTTTTTGCTCTCGCATACTTCTTTAGCATTTAACAAGATAGTTACCGGCTTCTGATGACGGAGAATTAAATATCAAAGTTCAGAAATCATATCTGAACAGATATCAATGATATTTGTGAACTCGACATTAATAATGCAGTTGATATTAAACTGTTTCTCTTCTTCACATTGACCCTAATTTCATATTCAATATGATGTTGATCAATATTGGCGACACAATCTGCAACAAAAGGGTTAATGCACGAATGACCAACCTTTATTAGTTTCCTTAATTAACTTGGTTTTATGAATATCATTCTGCAGAGCCTTTGAATATCTCATCCTTATGACGATATTTGCAAACTGCGTCGCGTTGGCTGTTTATACGCCGTATCCTTGTAGCGATTCTAATCTGACCAACCAATATTTGGTGAGTATTTAGTATACTTGCATTTAATTATACTGTTCTTTAATTGTTCAGCCACTTAAGTTTAAATATCTATATAAAATTATGTCGCTATCTTATTTCAAAAGTGATACAACTCAAAAGTGAACTCAAATGTTGGAATTATCATGAATGAATTAGATAATAATTACTCTACCAATCATCAAAAGTAAACTAACTTTATTTCATAATCTGTAAATAAAAATTTGTAAATAATAAATTTGTGTCGTTCTCTTAAAGTTTTTAAAGAAACTACAATACTTTTTACAAGAGTTATTTTACAAGAGTAACTACAATACTTTTTACATTTTTGAGTTGTATCATTTTTGTAAATAAAAAGAAGAATTTTCTACAAAGAATATATATTTAGAATTAAGAATCTTTATTATACTAATATATAATACTATTAATCAAAATAATTAATTTCTAAATGTTTCGATCATTTTAATATGATCATCTTCAATGGTTTACATAAAAATTACAATACATAAACAGTTGCAATTCTCTTTAGCTAATCTTATTACATTATTGATTTGTTTAACGGCCATCCTCATTAGAAATCCTTGCACATACTGTTTGATATTTTTAATTTAATTAATAGTATTGTATAATATTAATAGTATTGTATTAGCATAATAGATCCAGCGTGATTTTGCTAGTCTCAATCTTTCAAGTTGAATTATATTTATTTAAAATTATTGATTATTGTGAATTCTCAATTCGTAGAATTAAGAAATTTTGGTAATTAAAATTTGAAGAAAAAAATTGTCTATTTTGAATTTAATTATTTTAGTTAGTCAAGAAAAATATAAACTGTTGGTGATATTTCGAATTATATCACTTTACAAATGATATCATTTCTTCTATATATATATATAGAAAGAATAACATAATTTCTTTCCTTAATAAAAGCAAATTTAATAATGCCTATGTACATTATTTTAACATCTATATATACAAAAATAGAAATTTTGAAAAGGACTAAAAATAATCGAGCGAATAGCAATCATCTCGTTATGAATGGCACCGCCGGGAATCCTTTTGTGCGACTTCGTCGAATGTGAAATAAAGCAATTTTACTGATTATAACATATGTATGCGCAAGCGTATATGTGTCTAACTAAATCGAAGGGTGCCTCTTGCAACAATAAGAGTGGTGGTTCCGTTCAACGAACCACACGAACTTCTATCGAATTATCGATTCCGAGACGGCATGTAGGGTTGGTGGCATGAAACTTATTCGAGCTGAAAGTTCAATAATTGTTCAATCTTGCTCAACATCGGCGTGTATGCTGCCCCGGCGTACTATAATCACGGAAAATTCACATGTAGGCCGCTTTAGCGTGAGAATCAATTGAGGCTACACCCCGCGGCGTCGGACATTTCAAAAGTTATTTGTAATTACGAACATTCGGAAACTGCGCTCGAGCTTATTCACAGAGATAAGACTTGCACAGGTTTGGTTCAAACCTCTATAGAACTTATATGTAGGGATTATTCATTCGCCTGTGTGCACAGAGAGGCTACTCGATAACAAGTCGAAATTCAGTTTTGCGTCATATTATGCTAAAGTAGGATCGCGCCGTTGTCGTGCTTTGCCAAAGGGTGTGACTTCGTTTTACGTCACTCAAAGGACATTCCTTGCGCTAATTAATACCGGGAGGAAACTTTACTGAGATTAGGCCAACGGGAAATTCGCGCAAAGCTACCTGTGTAAACGCAAAGTCAATTATAACAGCTTAACGATTGTTAATTATAGAATGTAAAAATATTGATTTTTTACAAATCTTTTAATTTAAAAATAGGATTTCATCTCTTTTATCGGGATTGAGAATTCTACTTACAAAATGATGAAGTAGAAAATATAAAAAGTGTTTTGAAATTAGAGTAAATAATAAACGATATTACATCCGAGATAGCATGTTGCATGCAATGTATGATGTTCAAACCCATAATAATTATAAGCAGATCAAATTTCTTTCATAAGAATTATTTGTTAGGTATTTATCGTATTGAAATTTTGTAGAATTATATATATATATAT